ATATCTTTTTTCCATAAACTTGGGTTCAGTTCTCATGGGATATCACTTTCCCATCATCAGGGGTAGTCAAAGGGGCAGTAGTGGTCTTCTCCAATTCCTTTAGGGCCAGTACCTAGAATTTTCAGGGAGAATTAGATATGGCTGTGGGATTAATGGGCTTAATATATAAATCAAGTAATATAGAAATCAAATGTATGAAGATATGTGACTTGATTGTCTCTCCTACGACATCTGATGTTTGGTCAAGGACACAATGATTAAAGCCATAAAAAGTTCCTACAGCTTGTGACCGCCCTCATATGGTTTCGGTGTCCTTGAGGAGTGTCCCACCCTTGGGCAGGACTCAAAGATAGATGATGAACATGTGCTGAACCCCCTACTCAGATTTCTTCAGATGTTCATTTACTCAGTAAATATGAGGAGTGCCTTCTCGGCATTACTCTTGAGCTGTTACGCCTTGAGTCCCCTGGCTGGTCCGTTCAGGTCTTCAGTATCTCATGGTGTCACCTCCTTAACCTGTGGGTCGGAGATGGGGAGGAGGCCGACATATGGCCTCTGCCCTGAAGGGGAAGTTTGAATTAAAACCATAATGAGAAAATTTATTAGGAGGGACATTTTGAGCAGGAGGGATATCGGGGTTGCTCCTCTGGGAAGGCCGCTGTGCAGTCCCTTCCATCCAACTGCCTGGACTGTGTCATCAGGCTGGCGGATTGGACCAGCTCCTGACAGTTAAAAGAGTTTGGGTTATCCAGTAATTTACTAGCTCAGTCACTGTGGTCAAATTACTTAATTTCCCAATAATATCTTTTTTCCATAAACTTGGGTTCAGTTCTCATGGGATATCACTTTCCCATCATCAGGGGTAGTCAAAGGGGCAGTAGTGGTCTTCTCCAATTCCTTTAGGGCCAGTACCTAGAATTTTCAGGGAGAATTAGATATGGCTGTGGGATTAATGGGCTTAATATATAAATCAAGTAATATAGAAATCAAATGTATGAAGATATGTGACTTGATTGTCTCTCCTACGACATCTGATGTTTGGTCAAGGACACAATGATTAAAGCCATAAAAAGTTCCTACAGCTTGTGACCGCCCTCATATGGTTTCGGTGTCCTTGAGGAGTGTCCCACCCTTGGGCAGGACTCAAAGATAGATGATGAACATGTGCTGAACCCCCTACTCAGATTTCTTCAGATGTTCATTTACTCAGTAAATATGAGGAGTGCCTTCTCGGCATTACTCTTGAGCTGTTACGCCTTGAGTCCCCTGGCTGGTCCGTTCAGGTCTTCAGTATCTCATGGTGTCACCTCCTTAACCTGTGGGTCGGAGATGGGGAGGAGGCCGACATATGGCCTCTGCCCTGAAGGGGAAGTTTGAATTAAAACCATAATGAGAAAATTTATTAGGAGGGACATTTTGAGCAGGAGGGATATCGGGGTTGCTCCTCTGGGAAGGCCGCTGTGCAGTCCCTTCCATCCAACTGCCTGGACTGTGTCATCAGGCTGGCGGATTGGACCAGCTCCTGACAGTTAAAAGAGTTTGGGTTATCCAGTAATTTACTAGCTCAGTCACTGTGGTCAAATTACTTAATTTCCCAATACTTGAATTTCCCCATATATAAAAAGGGGATGATAATGTCATTGTTAGGTTAAATGACATGTGTGAAGCACTGTGCCTAGTACATGTTTTAGCATTCAATATATATTCTTTTAAAAATTTGCTTACATGATTAGATTAAGTTTATTTGTTTTAAATATACCTTGCATCAACTAATACTTAATTTCATGTCCTCTTGTTGGATATTAACTGTATAACTGCTATCTAAGAGAATGTTGTTATAAAATTTGTTCATGGTTTCTGTATCTTTAAACTTAAATGGTGCTTAGTTCTGACCTTAAGAACAAGGATGTTTTTAAGTCAGTAGTACAATTGTATCTTAATTATATTCTTGATATGGATTTCTGCTTGAGGAAGGCTCCCTTGGACTCTTTTTAAGGGGCATTATTTTGAGAGAGACCTGGCCATGTTACTTTTACATATAATATTGATGTTAATTTCAAGAATAATGCCCCAGGGTTACTCTATTGCTTGAAACAAAGGAACCAAGCTCAAGGAGGCTAAACTTTATATTTTATATTTGAGTAGCCTAAGAAGTGTGAGGTCCACAGCTTTTCATACCATTTCATTCATTCAGTTTGGAATATATTTAAGAAGATGGTTGTATGTTTTTTTCAGACAGAGTGTGTTCTTGTGGTATATAGATTAAGGCAATCCTAAGACAAAACTTGAAACGATACCTTGTTTTGTGTGCATGTTTTAAGGAAGTTTATTGAGGTATGTAATTCACATACATCATTACACATATACATTTTGATATTTGACATACTTACACATCTATGTAACTACCACTGTTAAGCTATCCAGCCTTTCCATCATCACTGAAAGTTCCCTTGTAATCATCTCAGTCAACCCTTCCTACCTCTGGCTCAGGCAACCAGTGATCTGTTTTGATCACTGGAGATTAGGTTTACTGTTTCTAGAGGTTCACCTAAACAATCACAATGTATGTACTCTTTTATCTACCTTATTTTGCTCAGCATAATGTTTTGAGATTTAATCCATGTATCAGTAGTTCATTGCTTTTACATTGGTGAGTGTAGTATTTATAGGCTGGGTGACTAGTATTCCATTGCATGAATATACCACAATTTATTTACCCATTTACCTACAATGGATTTACTATTTGTGTTGTTTCTGGTTTTGCTATAGAATAAAGCTGCTATGAACATTCACATACAAATTTCTGTATGGATGTATGCTTACCATTTCTTTTGGGTAAATACCCAGAAGTAGAATTGCTGGGTCATATATAGTTTTAAGTGTATGTGTAACTTTGTAAGAAACTACCAAACTGGCTTCTAAAGTGCTTGTAACATTTTAGAATGAATAAATTATTTCAGAGAAGTTAAAGTATACAAAATTAATTCACAGAAATCTATTGCATTCCTAAATACTAACAATGAATTAGTAGAAAGAGAGTTGAGGAAAGCAACCCCATTTACAATTGCACCAAGAAGAATAAAATACCCAGGAATAAGTCTAACCTAGGAGGTGAAAGGCCTATACTCTGAAAAGTACAAGACACTCATGAGAGAAATTAAAGAAGACATCAATAAATGTAAATACATCTTATGCTCATACATAGGAAGAATTAATATTGTCAAAATGGCCATCCTGCCTAAAGCAATCTGGAGTTTCAATGAAATCCCTATTAAATAACCAACATTCTTCAATAAACTACAACAAACAGTTCTAAAAATCATATGGAACCATATGAAAAGACCCAAAATAGCCAAAGCAATTCTGAAAAGGAAGAACAAAGCCAGGAAGGGGGTGGGGAAGCTGGGATTATGCTTCCCAAGTCAAGCTCTACTACATAGCCACAGTAATCAAAATAATTTGGTACTGGCACAAGAACAGACCCATAAATCAGTGGAACAGAATAGAGAGTCCAGATATAATTGCACACATGTATAGCCAATTAATATACAATAAAGGAGCCATAAATATACAATGGGGAAATGACAGCCTCTTCAACAACTGGTGTTGGCAAAACTGGACAGCTACTTGTAAGAGAATGAATCTGGATTATTTTCTAACTCCATACACAAAAGTAAACTCAAAATGGATCAAAGACCTGAATGTAAATCATGAAACCATAAAACTCTTACATGAAAACACAGGTAAACATCTCTTGAATATAAACATGAGCAACTTTTTCATGAATATATCTCTGAGAGCAAGAGAAACAAAAGCTGAAATGAACAAATGGGACTACATCAAGCTGAAAAGCTTCTGTACAGCAAAGGACACCATCAGTAGAACAAAAAGGCATCCTACATTATGGGAGAATACATTCATAAATGACTTATCTGATAAGGGGTTAACATCCAAAACATATAAAGAGCTTACATGTCTCAACACCCAAAAAACAAATAACCCTATAAAAAATGGGTGGAGGATCTGAAGAGACAGTTCTCCACAGGAGAAATTCAGATGGCCAACAGGCACATGAAAAGATGCGCCACATCACCAATATGGGTGAAGGTTGAAACCACAATGATCATGTGAAACCTTCATAAGATTATATATCAGTGATACTTTAATTTTAAAAAGTGCTTGTAACATTTTACATCAGGGAGATGCAAATTAAAACTACAATCGGATGTCGCCTCACAACAGTAGGATGGTCAACATCCAGAGGTCAAGAAAAAACAAATGCTGGCAATGATGCAGAAAAGGGGGGACTCTCCTACACTGTAGGTGGGATTGTGAATTAGTTCAACCATTGTGGAGAGCAATATGGATGTTCCTCAAAAAACTAAAAATAGAAATGCCATTTGACCCAGGAATACTACTCCTAGGAATTTACCCAAAGAATACAAGGTCTCAGATTCAAAAACACATATGCACCCCTTTGTTTATTGCAGCACAATTTACAACAGTCAAGATATTGAAGCAACCTAAGTGTCCATCAGTAGATGAATGGATAAAAAAGAGGTGGTACATATACACAATGGAATATTATTCAGCCATAAAAAGGAAGGCAGTCCTGCCAGTGGCAACAACATGAATGGAGCTAAATGGTATTATGCTCTGTGAAATAAGCCAGGCAGAGAAAGACAAGTATACAATGACTTCACTCATTTGCGGAGTATAACAACAAATCAAAACTGAAGGAACAAAATAAAAGCAGACTCACCAACTCTGAAAAGCAACTAGTGGTTCAAAGGGCAAGGTTGGGGAGGGTGGTTGAAGAGGGAGAAGGAAATTAAGGGGCACTATAATTCTCAATCACGATATAGGTGGATCTCAGGGAAGACAGTACAGCATGGGAAAGACAACGACTCTGTAGCATCTTACTACGCTGATGGACAGTGACTGCAGTGGCAGGGGTGAGGACTTGATAACATGGGTGAGTTGAAACCACAATGTTCATATGAAACCTTCATTATATTGTATATCAGTGATGCTTTAATTTTTAAAAAGTGCTTGTGACATTTTACAATGTATTAAAGTTCTAGTTGTTCCAATCATTGCAGACATTTTTCTATATTTTAATTTTAGCTGTTCCACTAGTTGTGTGGTAGTATCCTTTTGGTTTTAATTTGAATTTCACTGGTACTAAAGATATTTGAGTATCTTTTGATGTACTTATTGGCTATTTTTAAATGTTTTTTATGAACTGTCTGCTTCAATCATTTGTTTTTAATTAGGTTGCTTATCTTTATTATTGAGATACAAGAATTCTTTATATATTCTGAATCCATGTTCTTTGGTGGATATAGGTATTTAAAATAGTTTCTTCCCTTATGTGGCTTGTCTTTTGATTTTCTTAATGGTATCTTTGAAGTGCAAAACTTTAAAATTTTGATGAAATGCAATTCATAATTTCATCCTTTCAGACTTTGTGCCTTTTGTGTTCTAAGATATCTTTGCCCACTTCAAGATTTTTTGCTCCTGTGTTGTTTTAGGTCTGTGATCCACTTCAGGTTAATTTTTTTCTGTACCATATTTTGATGTTCATTTACAAGCTTGCCTGAGGTAGGCCTTGCATAGTTTGAAAGACAGAACAAGTTGGTCTTAATCATCAAAATTTGGTATGAGAATTTCCATTTGACTTTTTAGGAGTGTTTTTCAGGACCCAACTAAGAACTAAAGCTCAATATTGCCGGAGTCCAGCTCCAATGAGTCCAGGAATCCCTGAAGGATGAACAGCTTTGGTGACTGAATGAATGAGTGAGGGCACAGACACCAGCAAGAGCTGAGCCTGGCCTTTAATGAAAAGTAGCAGCTTGATTATATACTCTTTGATTACATAAAGTAAAGTACAGATAGTAATCATATAATTGACACAAAGCACAGTTACATGAATTTGGATAATGAGATTATATCATTTGGCAGGTCTTAGCAGTTAACTTATTTCTAAGTAAGCTTGGTTTTTAGTTTTTGTGGCCAGAAAATCTTACAAAGGTTAGGTAGGTGCCAGACTCTTGGTTTCTTTAGAGATGACTAAAGTTCACTATTCTATTGTTTTTATGTAAGGCATTCATTCTTTCATAGCTATACTCCCATTCTTCATCTCTGGTAGGAAAGAAGGAGGCTGTCTCTAAAAGAACACGGTGAGAGAGGAGCCAAGATGGTGGCATGAGTAGAGCAGTGGAAATCTCCTCCCAAAACCATATATATTTTGGAAAATACAACAAATACAACTATCCCTAAAAGAGAGACCGGAAGATACAGTACAACAGCCAAGCGACATCTACACCTGCAAGAACCCAGCACCTCATGAATCAGGTAAGATAGAAACTGCGGCCTGGTGGGACCTGAGCACACCCGTGACCCCAACTCCTTGGTGGGAGGAGAGGAGTCGGAGCGGGGAGAGGGAGCCCAGGACTGCTAAATAGCCAGCCCTAGCCATCTGCACCAGAGCACAGACACACAGTGTGTGGTGTGCTGGATATTAGGGAAATGAAACAGTAAAACCTGCTAGTGGGTCCCCACAGCCAGTGCCCCTGGGACAAAAGAAAAGCAAGTGCCTTTTGAAAGTCTTAAAGAGATAGGAGCCTCAGCGCTGGATGGAAGCATCTCAGCACACTTAGCCTAGCAGCTGGGAATCCTGGGGAACTCTGGGCAACCTAACCCCCTGGGCAGCAGCACAGCTCTGAGGGTCCTCACGGCAATAAACAGCCTCCCGCCCTTTCCCCCTCTGGTGCGGCCCCACCATAGCAAAGCAGCAGCCTGAGACTGGCCACACCCACAGCAGCCACACGGAGCCTACTCCACAGACGCCTGGTCCGGACTCAGAGAACCCGCTAAGGCACAGCTGCCCAGCACAAGCCACTAGGGGTCACCATTCTTTCAGGAGAGGAAGGCAATGAGCAAGTGGAAGGGATTTTGTTCTCCCAGCTGACGCATGAGCCAACAGTCCATGACTACCTCTATTACCATGAAAACGCAGAAGAATTTAATACAGACCAGAATAACCCAGACACCCCTTGAGAGGAACTTGGGAAGATAGATTTAACCTATCTTCCTGAAAAAGAATTCAAAATAATGGTTATAACCATGCTGATGGAGCTGCAGAGAAAAATGCAAGAGCTAACAGATAAAGTTAGGAAGGAGAATACAGAAATAACACAATCTCTAGAAGGACTTAAAAGCAGAATGGATGAGATGCAAGAGGGCATTAATGGAATAGAATCAGAGAACAAGAATGCAGAGAAGCTGACGCAGAGAGAGATAAAAGGATCTCCAGGAATGAAAGAATATTAAGAGAACTGGGTAACCAATCCAAACGGAACAATGTCACCATTATAGGGGTACCAGAAGAAGAAGAGAGAGAAAAAGGGATAGAAAGTGTCTTTGAAGAAATAGTTGCTGAAAACTTCCCCAAACTGGGGGAGGAAATAATCGATCAGACCACGGAAGCCACAGAACTCCCAAAAGAAGGGACCCAAGGAGGACAACACCAAGATACATAATAATGAAAATGGCAAAGATCAAGGACAAAGAAAGAGTATTAAAGGCAGCCAGAGAGAGAAAAAAGGTCACCTACAAAGGAAAACCCATCAGGCTATCATCAGATTTCTCAACAGAAATCTTACAGGCCAGAAGAGAATGGCATGATATATTTAATGCAATGAAACAGAAGGGCCTTGAACCAAGAATACTGTATCCAGCATGATTATCATTTCCATATGAAGGAGGGATTAAACAATTCCCAGACAAGCAAAAGTTGAGGGAATTTGTGTCCCACAAACCACCT